TTGGGGTGAGTGCCACTGGCGTGTAGTCATTCAGGTAGGTGACCGGGCTCTTCTTGGGAAGGGGGACGATGGTTGTGGTCATAAAGCAGGTGGGAACAATGCTCTGGCTGAGGGAGAGGTTGAAGATGGTGGTGAGAACATCAGCCAGCTCGCTGGCACATGCCCTGAGAGCCCTCCCAGGGATGTTGTCCGGTCCTGCCGCTTTGCGGGGGTTGATCTTCCTCAGGACTGTGCGTACCTGACCTGGTGAGACAGTTAGTGGAGGGGAGATGGGGGGTTGGGTGCTCTCAGTGTGTGTGTGCCTCCTCTCTATGCTGTGGCTGGAGGTCTCAAAGTGGGTGTAGAAGGTGTTGAGATCATCCGGCAACCTGTCTGTGGAGCTGATGATGCTGGTGGTGGTCCTGTAGTCTGTGATGTGCTGCAGGCCTCGCCACATCCGTCTGGAGTCAGCAGTAGAATAGAAGCCATTCAGCTTCTCTCTGTACTGCCTCTTGGCCACTGTGATGCTCTCCTCAGTCTGTACTTTGCAGCTTTGTACTCCATCTCATCGCCTGATCTGAATGCATGAGAGCGAGCACGCAGCATGTGGCATACCTGACTGTTTATCCAGGGCTTCTGGTTGGGATTCTCCTGACTTGTATGGTGGGCACAATGTAGTCGATACAGGTACTTATGTTCCTGGTCACATAGTCAGCATAATCCTGTACGCTGACAGAAAAGTCCTCCGAGGTGGCTGCAGCTTTAAACACAAGACGGCAATCCCCTGCTGTCCCTGCACAACTTTATTCTTACACCCATTCCTTCTGCTGTCTTGAAAACAAAAATGCGTACTTAGTCCCCAGTCGATACGCCAAAGAGAGGCTTGCTGCTGCAGGGCTACAGGAAAAACAACTAACATTTCAAGGTATGCAAAATATGAGGAGTATTGATTTTTTTTAACCTGTTAGCAGACTGCTCCTGCTTTTAGTTAATTTCTATGAATATAAGAAAAGGTTATTTGAATTCTCTCCTCTCTTCAGGTAGTCATATAAATCCAGATGGGTTCAGAGAATTTATTTTAGAAGCATATCCAAAACTCAGACAAAGGGGTGGATTTGAATTGCTCAAAATTTCTGGAACAAGAAGTCGCCAACTGATCCTCATCTCCTGTCCCATTGAGGACTACCATGTGAGACATTTGAAAGATCCACAAACACAGATCAGTCATGCTACCATTTTCATTCGACCACTTCAACAGAACCTGAATCTGGAGCCTGTGCTTTACATGAAACTGGTGCTGTCTTATTAACAGCCACTTGATTGTTTCTTGTGTTTTACAATGAGCTTTTTTTACAGGATTGTCTACCAGGACGCAGAGGCAAACTGGTTGGACCACCTCAGAAATGTGTCACGTGTGGAGATGAGTTCCCTTTTTCATGCATAAAAGCTCATAGTGATGAATGCATAAGGTAATGCTTAATAGAAAGAAAACATCACAGTTGTCTAGCAAACTGATAGTTATACCTGTAACCCTTTTGCCACCCGGCTCGTTATAATAAGGGAATAGCTACTTAGTGCATACCCCTCTAAACTCAAAAAAACCAATTGGCAAAACAGACATTCCAATGTAAGAAACTTTGTCTAGGGTTCAGTATGATCCTCACCTTTAAAACATCAATTGGGGATTTCCCAGAAATGATATTACTTCAAATAACTCAGAATACGTATGTACTTTGTTACTTGTAACTTATGGCCAATTTTTCCAGGGACTGTTTCACAGTGTAGAAACAATAAACACACACACTAAACAGTGCGGTTATGCTCGACACACTGGCCATGGAGTGTGGGTTTGCTTTATCCACCGTTCCAGTTTCTGTAGTGTAGCGGTTATCACATTTGCCTTACACGCAAAAGGTCTCTGGGTCGAAGCCAGGCAGAAACAACGTTTCTCCTTTGAAAATATTTGAAACCTTCTTATATCTGCTCAAAGCTGCATTTTAGCATGTTATAGACCATTTAGGAACAGTGTCTATTTTGCATATCAATGCTTAAGAAGTGGCTGAAATAATCTGCGATATTCAAATTAATGCCTTTTAATTTTCACACAACAACACTTAAATTGCAATGGATGTTAATATGTGGGGGTGTGCGGCGTATAACCTAAAGCACAACAAAATGCAATACCCACATCTCATGTTGTTGCACAAAGTCAAGCAACCTGCGCTTCCAGTCGCATTACCATCGATAATGTTGAAGACGTGCCTCAAAAATATTGATCTGTATTTTGAAGAAATATATGCAAAAGATGGTTTTCAAAACAGAAGCTGTTTTCCATAAAATGCCCTTCAATTAACAAGGCGCATGGGTAAATCACAAACTCCAGCCTTCGATTAGTTTAATTGCTCTTTTGTTGCCTATGACTGACAAGCTCACAGCAGCTAGGTGGAAATGCAGCCTCCCTACTGCAGGGCTAAGTATAACAACACTGCAGTAAGATCTCACGCCCAATGTGGGACTTGAACCCACGACCCTGAGATTAAAAGTCTCATGCTCTACCAACTGAGCTAACCGGGCTCTGAAGAAGCAAGAAAGGTGCCAGGCAGTGGACTCGCTAGCTGGCCGTACCAACATTAGCATTGCACATGTACTTGTAAACAAAGAAAAACTGAAAAATACTGTTTACATTTGGTTTTTTTTTCACAAAAGAGACATAAATGTTCCCCACCATCTTGCTACAATGTTCTCTTTCAAAGAACATATCACGGTAGTTGAAAACATGGACACAATGAGTAGCAGTGTACAGATCTAGTGGTCTGCTATCAAACACGGTTGGCACAGGGCTCAGACACCACAGGCTTGGTTCTTGTGTTTCTCAAACATATGTCTTCCCCTAACAGTGCGGTTATGCTCGACACACTGGCCATGGAGCACGCCAGCTGTGATGTCAACACAAAGCCAGAGCCACCCTTGAGGTGCGCTGGACTTGTTGCAGTCTTCTCCTAAACGGTCAGTGTCGCTGCTGCAAAAAACACATTGTACACCTTAAGAATAGCAATAGAAGAAGAAGTCTACCTGAAATACATTGTGTAGCTAATGAGCCCGCTAGCTAGCCAGCAGATATTTGGACTCTACAGAGCAGATGAATGGACTCACTAGCAGGTTGTAACAGCATTAGCACTTCCATTAATAACATTCTAGAAACAAAACTGTTTGTCAGTATTTTCTGATGCATACAATACAAGCATACGAACCTTTACGTTTGTCAACTAAATGAAAGAGTGGTGAACACAGCTTCATCCAAGATTCATATAGTAGCTCAGTTGCAGTTTGGGGTAGTTTAATAAAATAATGGTTTGTTCAATTTTTAAATCACTTCTAACACATCAACTTATTCTTTCTGCAATGTCTTCTGACAGACAGCAGGTGGTGCAGGGGACTTTGAGGCTTGCTGGTTGTCTTCATGGCGATGTTCAGCCTCTTTAAAAGTGTCATGGTGCGTTGTCTTTAAATGCTTAAAGAGGTTGCTAGTGTTGCTGCTATGTGGCAACACTTTATTGCAGGCAGAGCACATGGCATTATCTTTGGTCATTGGTGAAAAATAGCACCACACTTTGCTTCTTTTTTTCTCTCTTAGCCATCCATGCTACCGTGCAACGCTGCGGCTGACTGAGCTCACTCTGAGCAGCAGAGTAAGGATTGAGGCAGTGCTTGACTGAGGCTGCGCAGTAAGCCTTTGGCGCTGACATCTGATTGGCTGCCATAATCATGTGACACGAAGGACCATCTAAAATACGCTCAGGCAGGTTTTCACACATAAATAGAATTCCTAAAACTGTGAGAAGTGAAAACAAATGGCAGGTGTTGTATTAGCACATTGGTATCACGATACTTAAAGAAGTATCGACTCCAAAATATCTACCAGCGGTTATCAAAATGGCCATTCTTAGTCACTAGCAGGTTGCGATATAGTTTCCAGCACACAGGTATAATACTGTCTCTGCAAAGCTTTGCGCCTGATGTGGGGGTCGAACCCACGACCCTGAGATTAAGAGTTTCATGCTCTACCGACTGAGCTAACCGAGCTTTTTTCAAAGCTCAAAAGATCTGTTTATTCAAACTTTGACAAAAAATGTCTCAATTCGATAGTCTGGTTAATGGGCTGTATCAGCATTGGCGTAATCTAAAGATAAAAAATGAGGCAAACATATGTTAGTCCCGGCCATTGCCGCATAGTGGTGTCTCTGCAACGCAATCGCTTCGGGTGCTAGGCTGTTAACTGACAGCTTGGTGGTTTGAGCCCACCCAGGGATGTGTAGTTCTGGGGTGTCCTTGAGCAAGACACTGAAGCCCAAGTTGGCGCTGCAGATGGCTGCCTCAGTTCTGTACCAGAAACAAATTCCTTGTGTGTGTGACATATTTTGCGAAATAAAGTGATTATTATGAGAACTTGAAAATATTATTGTTGACATCCACATGAAAAAAGTGCGTGCCCAATTCAAAGACCATGTGGAGAGCCAAACTCTCCTGAACCCTACAGAACTGGCCTACTTTTCCACAGTCAGCACGGACTCCACAACACTGCTCCTGATTCCGAGGTTGCCGCAGTCTCCTCTCAGGTCCTCTGGCATGAGGTTTCCCAAGGAGGATGAGCAGTGATAGCCTTATAACTGAAGCAAAGCTTACTGTGGCTATTTCATTCAGGCAAGATCCAACAGCCACATGCACCATTGCCCCATGCATCATTGCCACATGCATGCATTAAGTGTGGGTTTGCTTTATCCACCGTTACAGTTTCTGTAGTGTAGCGGTTATCACGTGCTTACTGTGGCTATTTATTCAGGCAAGATCCAACAGCCACATGCACCATTGCCCCATGCATCATTGCAACATGGATGCATTAGGTGTGGGTTTGCTTTATCTACTGTTCCAGTGTCTGTAGTGTAGCGGTTATCACGTTTG